TTCTATCATTATATTATCATCCTCATCTCCTCCCATGTTCTACTTTATCTTTACAATAGTCAATATTCTTAAATAATTTATATTTTTAATTATAATTTTTTAGTATATATTTCAGAAATTAATCAATTATAATCTATTATTTGAAAAACTATTCAATTCTAATCAATAATTTAGAAAACTAATCGATTATAATTAATTATTTGAAAAAATTATCAAATATGATCGATCATTTCAAAAATCTAATCGATCAGAATCAAAAAATCTGGTTGTATATGATAGCGGTTCCACTGGAACCGCTATTATATGTTACATTCACTTGAGCGAATGTTACTTTCGCTTGAGCGAATGTTATTATATGATAGCGGTTCCACAGGTGGCGTCGCTCGAGCGATGTTACTTTCGCTTGAGCGAATGTTGACCTGCATAAACGTCGATCAAAGTTAGCCGGATAATGTAACCTGGGTGCCTCATGTTTGAATCGGATGTCGCTCGAGCGAGAATAGTGTCGCTCAAGCGAAATACAACCCGAGAATGCCAATTTTGTGCAGGTGGCGTCGCTCGAGCAATGTTACTTTCGCTTGAGCGAATGTTGACCTGCGTAAACATCGATCAAAGTTAGCCGGATAATGTAACCTGGGTGCCTTATGTTTGAATCGGATGTCGCTCGAGTGAGAATAGTGTCGCTCAAGCGAAATACAACCCAAGAATGCCAATTTTGTGCAGGTGGTGTCGCTCGAGCGATGTTATTTTCGCTTGAGCGATATTGCAAAAATCAGATATAATCATGGATTATTTTCTCATTAGCGACCGATTTTAATTCGGTCGCTATTTCAATTTGTAATTCGGTTGCTAAATCAGTCGCTAAATGATTTTTTTATTTATGTATGAAATAGCCACCGATTTAGCGACTGAAAATTTGCGACGCACAAAAATTGGTCGCTATTTCAGTCGCTAAATAAAAAAGTGAAAACCAAATCATATTTTGGTCGCTAAATCGGTCGCTAATTGCGACCGAATTAAATCGGTCGCTAAATCGGTTGCTAATTACAACCGAAAAAATTCGGTCGCTAATTTCGGTGGCTAAATATGTTTTTTCTTGTAGTGTAAGTTCAATTTTTGTCCTGTTTAAACCATCATCTCAATAAGTTTAGGTTAAGTTGGTGTATATTTATTAATTAATCTATTTTATAAAATAATTATTATTTTTAAATATATATATATATATTATAAATTAATTTTATAAGATTTAAGATTTATTTTTTATAATTTATTTTATTATAATTTAATGATTAAAATAAAATATGATTTTAAATTATTAGAGTATTAAAAAAACATGAATAATCAAGATGAATAATAAATTTCATATTGAGAGAAAATAAGTAGGGAAATACAATAAATTTAAAAATAAATAATAATATAAAATCATAGTATTATAGTTTATGAAAAACCTACTTATAAATTACAATTACAACTACGGTTGTATCTTTCACTTCACTATTTGTACTAATATTTAAAATGTTCCCTTGAAATAATTGTTAACTATTTGTTCACGAAAGATACACTCGAAGATGCTTTAAAAATTAAATTTAACTTTTGTTAATAGTTGATAAAATAATCAATAGAAATTGTCAACATTTGGAATGTAAAAAAATAAAAAATAAAAAATCCTTGTATAAGAATATATTATAGTTAATACTCAATAAAATAATCAACAGCAATTGTCAACAATTGGAATGTGAAAAAAAATGTTATATTTAAAGATATTAATGAAATAAGTAGTGGAACATAAACCTTATTACTCATACTGCTTCTTGAAATAACTTATCCTTATATATATATATATATATATATATATATATATATATATATATATATATATATATATATATATATATATATATTATTTTTGTTATGATTAATCTTAAATTTATTAATGTAAAATGGAATTATAAAATTAAAAGTTAAGGAAAGCTTAAAAAATATATGAAAAAATTAATTTAATGTCAACTTAACTATTATTATTATTATTATTATTATTATTATTATTATTATTATCTATATCTAGATATAGACTTAATATAGAATTGATTATTATCAGTAAATTTTAAAGAACGTTGAATCAAATTTTAAAGAACGTTGAATCTTACTTCTCTAATATTTCAATGTTTGACAATGATGCAAGGTTTCTTTCTGACTCTGACTTTTCTGAAGACTTTTTCAATTCTGGTTGTTGTCTTGCGTATCATGCACTTGTTCCTTTTTGTCAGGGCAGACCCGTAACCATGTTCGTGTCTGTGTTTTTGAACTAGGGACATAATAAGAGTGAAAAAGAATTGTGTAACATAACAAAAATATAGAATAATTTTATTTTTTTTACAATTCCATTACAAAATTAATAATATTTTATAAAGAATTCTCAAAACAGCGATCCAGACTTCACCTTATCTGAAGGAAAAATATTTGATGGTGATGTTTAACCTATATTTTAAATAGATTAAAATTTTTAGTTTAATTTGATTTTGTGTTAGATTAATTGGTCAACTTAACCTAATTGAATTTTAAAAAATATATTAACGTATTTATACTAAATCAATTAATAAAAAAATTAAAATTTAAATAAAAATAAAAATATATTTTTAAAATTTAAATTTTATTAATAAAATTTACTTTATTTAAAATATAATGATTTAATATATAAATTAAAAGAGAATCCATTTATTATTTTTAAAATAAAAAATAAAACTTATTTATTATTATCATTATTTATTAGTAATTTAATAATATAAAATAATAATTAATTTTAATTATTATATCTTGTATTTTTTTACCAATGATGCTAGTGAATAATAAACATCACTCTTAATTCCTTTTATTTGAAGGTTTTTTTTCAATCAGAATTGAATCACACGTCTTTTAATTTCATTCAGATATTGAATATTAATACAGAGATGAAATAATATATTATTAATAAATAATAAATAAATTAATAATAAATAAATAAATATAAAAAAAGAAATTAAATATATAAATAGATATATTTAATAATTATTAAATTTAAATAATTAAAATTATAAATATTAATATAAATTACAAAATTTTAAAGAATTTTAGTCTCTCACCTCCCATAAGATTCTGTGAACACAAATTAGTAACAATTTAATTCCAAAGAAGATATCATATCAATGACGCAAAACCTATGCTTCTATATATAAGTATTTATTAAAATTACAATAATATAACATATAGTTTTGACTCATTAATCATTAATATTATTGTAAGTAAAAGTATTAGTAAAATCATCTTAATTTTTTCTCTAAATATTATCATGTATTAAAAATAAAATGATTTATTGAAATTGTGGACCTCATTGTGATTTGGACGTCTCTAAATCTGAGACGTAGAGTATTTTTTGTATTTTACTTATATAATTACTAGAAATTTTCATATTTTATAGAAATATTTTTACAAATTTTTATAAAAATTTTGCAAAAATAAATTTTCTGTAAATTTAAATAATTTTTTTAATTTACAGAAAATAATTAATTTTTTAATATATATATATATATATATATATATATATATTTTTTTTTCTATGTCTTCATAGATATTTTTAAAATGAAATATTTTTTATCATAGAAATAAAAATAGTAAATGTTATTTTAAAAAAATAAATAATACAGTAAAATAAACTTGTTTAATTGTTTCTCTTTTATAATTTCGATCTTAAAGTAGGACATGAATGTGGTATGATAATTATTAATGGTTGAGTGAGGTTTATAAGTACAGGTTGCATGGAAGAGTTGCCCATGGAATTAATCCGCCAGCAGTAATTAAAGTATCCCACTTCAACATGAAAAAAATTAGGTTTGCTTAAAAGGGTACACTTGACAATGAATTTTAAATTGGCTCATGGTTTTGTTGCAACCGAGGAGCACCTCTTCCCTGCAACGCGTTTTATTCATAAATCTCAGTCAACCATTAATATGTAATTAATTATCAAACCACATTTCTGCTTCACTTTTTAGGATCGAAATTATAAAAAAGAAAGAATAAAAAGGAATTTTTAAAAAATCATCCAATCATAATTATAATAACTATTTATTAGTTAGAATATTAATAGAACAATAGAATTAGATAAATAACAATAATATATATATATATATATATATATATATATATATATATATATATATATATATATATATATATATATATATATATATATATATATATATAATTAGGTCAACATAACTTTTTTTTTGCTGGGACAGAAGCAATTAAATTCAAACCCTTGAAGAAAAACCGAATTAAATTAGACCCATTTTAAAAGTGAATTTTCAACGCACTAACCAATTAAATAAACTATATTCAACCATTTTGGTCTTTCCTAACATCTACGTTTTGTTTGATTTTTTCTTCATATGTCACGTAAGTTTATGTTATAAATTTAAGTGAAGATTTCGAACATGACTAGGATTAAGTTAGAGGTTGAAATTTTAACTCACTCTTCAAAATCCGATCTAATTTTTTAGCAAGTTAAATATTGGACAACTGAAATATTATATAAAAAATTTTGTCAGACAGAGAGTTCATACACACGATAGAACATACTAAAGAAGAATTAATTAATAAACATATGACCTATATAATTTTAGGATTTTAGAAAAATAAAGTGTTTGAAAAATTCTTTGCTGTGTATGAGAACGCGCAAAAATAAAAATTAGTCTACATTTTCTAGAAAATTAAAATAGTAAGAAAAAGGCGAAATTTATGAATGTAGTTTGAAAGTCTACTTTGTAATTAATTAACACAGAAAGTTCAAGCCGATTCTCCACTTCTATGTTCCTACCTACCCCACCATTAATTCCCGGAGCATAAATACCACTACTTGTTTCTTTAACCCTCCTCATCTAACGTCCAAACCAAACATATCCCACCAAATATTCTCTCTTTGCTGTCTCTAATTAATATCACCATCATATTCTAACACACACTTCACCATGGTTTTTCCAAAACCTTCTTCTGAGTCTGACCTCTTTCTTTATTCCAATTTTGCTTCTCCTTATGCTAGGGACTCTCTTCCCAGGTATACATATTTTCTTCTTCAGTTTTCTCTTTCTCATCATGGCTTTTCCATTTACTATGTTCATTGAATATCATTATGATTGACTTCAATATGCATGCTAACTTGAACTTGATCTTATTTTCTGGGGAGGAAATTAATGAAATGTGTGTTGTTTTGGTGATTCAGGTTCAGTATGCCCGAGAACTCCATGCCTAAAGAAGTTGCTTACCAGAACATACACGATGAGTTGCAGCTTGATGCCATTCCAAAGCTTAACTTGGCTTCCTTTGTCACCACTTCCATGGAGGAAGAGTGCAACAAGCTCATCATGGAATCTATCAACAAGAACTATGTAGACATGGACGAGTATCCTGCCACCACTGACCTTCACGTACTTTCTCATAACAGCTATCAACATTGAATATTCCCTTTTCAATCTTTATATATATATTTTGGAGTATGAAAGATAATTGTTTTGGTGTTGGACCCTCACTGACATTTTTGTTTTCTTTTTCTGGTATTGTTCTTGTTGAAAACAGAATCGATGCGTGAACATGATAGCACGTTTGTTCCATGCTGAAATAGAAGAAAATGAGAATGCAGTTGGAGCAGGAACTGTGGGATCATCAGAGGCCATAATGCTGGCAGGGCTTGCATTCAAGAAGAAGTGGCATAACAAGCGGAAGGCAGAGGGTAAGGCATACGATAAGCCTAATTTGGTCACTGGTTCCAACGTGCAAGTATGTTGGGAGAAATTTGCCAGGTATTTTGAGGTGGAGTTGAGGGAAGTGGAGGTGAGAGAAGGGTACTACGTCATGGACCCTGCTAAAGCAGTTGAATTGGTTGATGAGAACACTATTTGTGTGGCTGCAATCTTGGGTTCAACTTACAATGGAGAGTTCGAAGATGTGAAGCTCCTCAATGATCTACTACTACAAAAAAACAAGCAAACTGGGTTAGTCACATTCAATTCAAGTATACTTTTCACTTGCCTTTGCTTTGTCCTGTACTAATTTGTTTTACTTTTGTCATATTACAGCTGGGATACGCCTATTCATGTGGATGCTGCTAGTGGTGGTTTTATTGCTCCTTTCCTTTATCCAGAGCTAGAGTGGGATTTCAGACTCCCATTGGTGAAGAGCATTAATGTGAGTGGCCACAAATATGGACTTGTTTATGCTGGTATTGGTTGGGTTATTTGGAGGAGCAAGGAGGACTTGCCAGAAGACCTTGTCTTCCATATTAATTACCTTGGAGCTGACCAACCCACCTTCACCCTCAATTTCTCTAAAGGTAATTCATTACAAACTATTTATACTCCTTGGACACCTTGATTACATACTTATAAGACGATATAGTTACCTTCGTATGAGCCAAAAAATAAAACCGATTTACGACTTGCAGGTTCTAGTCAAATTATTGCTCAATATTATCAGTTAATTCGCCTTGGACAAGAGGTGAGCCTATGATTCAATAATTTCAGTTATATTTTATGACCCCTCTCCTCAATTCTAATAATTACCACATGTAATGTTGCATAACAAATAACAATCAATCTTTAATCACAACCATATATGCAATCAGATATAACCATAAAATGGCTAAGCGTCACTATGATACAAGTGAAAATAGCAAAGACATGGTCAACCATTTTTTCTACGAAACAATTGCTGAATTTCAAAACTCTCTTACCGATTCTTATTGGACTTAATAGGGTTACCGAAGCATAATGGAGAACTGCAGAGAAAATGCAATGGTGCTGAAGGAAAATTTGGAGAAGAGTGGACGCTTTAGCATACTCTCAAAAGACAATGGTGTTCCTGTGGTGGCATTTTGTCTGAAAGACAGAAGCCAGTACGATGAGTACAAGATATCAGAGATGTTGCGCCGCCACGGTTGGATCGTGCCAGCTTATCCAATGCCACCTGCTGCTCAACACGTCAATGTACTCCGTGTGGTGATCAGGGCCGAGTTTTCACGCACCCTTGCTCAACGCCTTGTGTTTGACATATACAATGTGATGCATGAACTTGATAAACTACATCCTCCCAAAGTCATCAACAACATTAAGGAAGAGAACAAGGGCTTGGTTGAAAGTGGAGTTAAGAACACTGTATTGGATGCACATCGGGAAATCATTGCTCATGAATCAAACAAGCGTCAGAAAATCATGGCTGCATAGCTGGGGAATCTAGCTCACTATGCCAATTAAATAAGGAGCCTTCACTGTTTTAACTCCACTCAAAATCCACCCTTAACTATATTTGCTTTATTCTTTTCTCAAAGCTAAGTCATTTTCTCTTACTCCACGATTAGTTTATTTTCCTTATGATTTGGTGTTGATTGAGATATGTAATTCACATTAATGTAAGTTTTTAAATGTTCCACCACATTGATTTTGTTGTTCAAGTTCAGTTGCTGGTTGTATTATGCACTTCTATGCGTTACTCTAATATTACTCTCACTCATATATTAAAAATAGTAAATAATATTGTATATACATCTCTCATCCATCCTTATTATTATTATTATTATTATTATTATTATTATTATTATTATTATTGAATATTCAATAAAAAAATAAGAAAATGTGAGTAAAATAATTAATAACATGAATTACTTAAAAAAAATATGACGAATGAATTTTGTAACAAAATAATAAAATTTTTGTCACAAAAACTATATTAGGACGAAATCTATGATGAACCCAAAAGTAATTCACAATTCACAATTTGGAAGTTACAAAATTTGTGATAATTTTTTTTTATATCAAAATAGTGATGGGAAATAATATTATATAAAAAAATTATATATTCATACAAATTTATTGTTTGAATTAAAACTTCATTATGTTACAAATTGAGACTTATTATTCCGTCACAAAAATTGTAGCCGTTTTAAACATGTATGAGCAACTTCCACGAAAAATATATGCTTTAAGTGGATCTGCTTAAAGGAGAAATATTTTGCTTTTATTAGCGCTTTGGTCATATGTGACCTACATGATTTGAAGCCATAAAGTGTATGACACGTAAGTAACATAATTTTATGCTTAAAGCATGTCATTATTCGTTTAAACAAGTCTTGCTTAAGCAGGTATATATAGGGTCACTTAAACGAGAGTTTTAAGCGATTATTTTATGTTTTAATCAATGGTAATAAAAAATAAAATATATTTTATATTTTTAATTTGTAATTTGTAATTCTAGATAAAATATAATAATATAAGCTTAAATAATGTAATAAATATAAATAATATTATAATGTAGATTCTTTATATAGTATAAATATTTTCTTCCCATAGTTGATGACTATACTTAGTTTACATTAATTTAATTTATGAATAACAAATCTAAAACTCACACCCATCTTACCAATTTTATTATCCTTATTGCTTACTAAAATTATAAGATCCAATAATGGGATTGAATTTATGATTAGGAATTTATTTGATTCTAAGGGAATAATCCACCAAACCACTTGTATTGAGACTCCCAGCAGAATAACATAATGGAGAGAAAACATCTATACTTGCTTGAGCCCTTATATTTCACTTTAACATTTCTGTTAATTATGGTGTTATGTTATTGAATATGTTGTCTATCTAATTGATTGCACTCCCACTCACATTCCTCACAATTCCACACCTTTTGAAAAATTGCATAATGAATCTTGTGACCTGAGAGAGATATTTATGTTTTAGGTTGCTTATGCTATGTTCATACCTTGACCACTAATAGAAAAAAGTTTGATGAATGCACTAACCCAGATATTTTTCTTGGTTTTAAACAACACACTAAAGGATACATTGTTTAAAATCTTAAAACTTATAATATTGATGTGTCTTGTAATGTTATCTTCTATGAAAATTATTTTCCTCAAAACTTGTAAAAGAAATAAAACTAATGCCCCTTTGCAATTGTCCCTACCTATCACTAATCTAGAGAGCACATTTTATAACAGGATACGACAATGATTATTCCACTACAAGAAAAACATCAAATAGTGACCGAAAATTCGGTCACTAAATCTACAAAATCGGTTACTAATTAAAATAGTGACCGAAATAGTGACCAACTGGAATCGGTCACTATTTCCTTGGTCAACGATTTTAGTGATCAGGTCGATGTCGATTAGTGACCAGAATCGATGGTAGAATCGGTAGTAGAATGGAGATCAGTCACTATTTCGCTTAGTCAGCTGATTTTAGTGGCAGAATCGATGTGGAGTCGGTAGTAGATTATATAACCAAATC